CCCAGTGGGAATTAGGAGCACGTAATAATACCTTATTAGCAACTTACTCTTCACCTGGCAGTCATTACCATTTCCCTGCCGAACGTCCCTTACTTTTACAAAGGCATGGCCGCCTTATGTAAGTAGGAATTTAGAATGTACATTTGGTATCAGACATACTTCTGAGCCGCTTTACAAAGTAAGTTACGTGTAATGCAGAGCAGTCGCTCGGAGTAGTTCGGTGCTTGGAAATAACTTCGGCTGCACGTTATTTTGCAACTGACAACGTAATGTGTCTTCGGATGTGTTCATTTTGCCCTTTACTAGTAGATGACATTGGCCATGATGACAATTTTGGTACTAAGAACTGAAAGAAAACATGGCTTACCTCGCAAGGTGCTTACCTATTTTCCCAGTGGGTAAGAATACAAATGGAATTTTTTGGCTTTGTGAAAGTTCACGCTCGCATTGAACCGTATATCAAGCTTAAACAAATTTGGATTTCAGCAGGAAGAAATAAAACAAGTTCCTTAGGCCCCGTTCACAAATCAGGCGTTTAACGCGCGTTTTGAAAACTTACATCAACAACTGCACCAGTTTCTTACGTTTAACGCGCGTTAGCATATAAACACCTTGAACAAAATGTAAAGAAATGTGGTCACGCGCGTTAAACGCCTGGCTTTTGGAAGCGATTTATTTCCCTTGCCACCTTTATCAAAATGGACGTTTTTACAAAAAGACATTTTTCAATCTAAGCTAGCGGTATATTAAATTGGGCAATAGCTTTTCTATATGGTTGACTCCGTTTCTGTTATCGCAAAATGCGTGGATCTAATGGATTTTTTTTTCACTACCTGGTTGTGATTACAGTTTTAACTAGAGTTATAGTTCTCGGTTGTTTGGCATTAAATGCCGTATCAACCAAGCTGGAATAACTTTTGTAATGAAAGACATATCGCACAGAAATAATGAGAGTGGCGTATCTGTGCTTTTTTTAAAAGGTTATTTTTTTAATGGCCAACTGTAGGCCACGTATCCTGTATGAACAGAAAGATTGACATACTAAACGTCAGTTGCTTACCATTCGTACAAAGTATTGGATGACTACAAAATGTTAACAATTCATACTATTCCAGAACGCTTCCGATACGTTAAGAAAACACTACTACAGCAATGGGCGCGTCAGTAATAAAGTTGATGCATTGATTGGTGGTTTTGATTTCCAAGTGACAGAAGCGCTGTATTGCATTTTGTTTTTACAGTAGTTAAATCGGGTCACTACTGCGTATAAGTACGTTTAGGAAATAAGCCAAATATGGTGTATAGCCAGCCGATATTTTTTTTTTTGCTGAGAGTTATATGTATAGAGTGTTAAACTGCGGTACATATTGTGTATGGCATTCTTCTTCCATTATCTGTTTCATAAATTTTTTTGATAATGAGTGTAAACAGGACTGAAATCTTCGTTATTTGACAATTTTTCTAAAAGTTATCTGGGTATATATACCTACTATTGAACCTGAACAGCTCGCTATTTGCATCATTGCAAACGGCGGCTCATGTCTTCTCAGTTAAAGAAAACCGGAGATGGTTCAGTGAATCTATTTCCGCCAATATAACGTTTACCAATTTCCACGGGTATGTGTTATAAAACCTTTATAGCGTACCGACCAACTTTAATATGGGATATGTATTGCTACAAATGTTCATTTAATATTTAGTTGATTTCTAAACTTATTCCTTAAAATATCTAAGAGTTAGTTTTCTTTATAAACGGATATATGCAAGGTTTTTCGGTGGAGAAGCAATAAATTCCCTTATTGTGTATAATTTTTTTATATATGATTCATTTGTCTCAATACAATTGTTTATGAAACTTCTCTAAAAGTAATTTTAAGGCGTAAAGGTGTAAAGAGACAGCGATTGGTGTATATTTCAACCTAAGCAACTAATGATCTGGTTTTTAAATCTTAATGAATGGTTTAATTTGTTGCTGTAGAAAGAATAGCAGCAACTAGCATAAGATATGTGCCCGCGAGTCCAGTGTGTTGTTGATTAGTTGGGTATGATTAATGATCAGAAGATTCAAACTGTGTTATATTAATATCACCGCAATATGATGGATCGTCAACGTCGTCTACAGAAATGGGGAAAATAATGGTTGAGTCTTAAACTGAAATGTCAGATTTACGTTATCCGACGGGCGGCTTGAGAATGGTACTTGCTTGTGTATGCGACATTAGACATTTAAAAACTTTCAGTTACCTACACACTGCAAATCACAGCACGCATATTTAAATGAGTCTTGATATCCTATTTTAGAAATGGAGGCGGCAGCAAGGACGGCTACAATAAAGGTAAAATAAAAGCAAGCCATATTGCAACAAATAAATGAGTAAAGTATAAATCAATTCATTTACTACTTACAATTCTTAACTGCGTTTACGTAAAATAAAATACTGTATGACTAGCATTTCCATAGAGCATTGAATCGAATGTATCAATTAAAACGGGTTTGTATAGAAATTTTACATTTTCGATTTTCAATGCTGTCAACTTTGCAGTTAAGGAAGTCAAAAGGATGCGGAAATTTTTATATTGTTTTTTTTTTTGTAGTCAATTCCAATAATTAAAATTCTTTACAACGTGTGTGTCAGATTTGCGAATATGGTATATTGTGAAAAATTTTATTATAAGGCATTAAATTTGATGAAATAATGTTTATTTTGGGTTGAATATCATGGTATTAATTTTTAAGTGTTTGTAATAAGGTTTCAAACTTGAACAGTTTTTAAAATGGGAAAAATGGTAAAACTGCTTTCCATTTGAAAGTTATTATTCAAAACAAAATATATATTTTTTAATCTCACATCTTACGAAAAACTCCCAGTATCACAAATGCTTTTTCTTGAACTGAAAGCCACTTATTACCCAATTTCTATTCACACATGAAGAGTATGAACAAATCACAAGATGTATGAAAAGGGTGAATTGTTTAAAATTAGTGTTTCGAAGCGTGATGTACATATATTCACAAAAAAGAACCTGAAATACGCCTTACTAAATTTTACGAACAACAATACTATATTTTTAACCGACTTCAAAAAAAGGAGAAGGTTTTCAAGTCGTCGGATTTTTTTTTATGCATAACTTATGGCCACGTCAGCCGATTTCGATAATTCGTTTTCAGTCAGAAAGTTTTTCAGTTCAGAAAGATAGTCTGACAGGTTCTGCAACTCACTTCCGAGTGAATTTTAATCTAACTCGCTTTGAATTCAAATTGGCAAGGGTTGAAATTCACTAGGAAATGAATTACAGAATCTGCCTGAGTGTCTCACAGGTGGTCCCATACAATTTGGTTTAGATCCGATCATTGGACCATGAATAAATTAACGGTACTCCTAAATTTTTATATGAGAATTGAGTCGGTTGTGTTTTTTGCTTAAAATTTACTTGGTACATATATCTGAGCTTTTATATAAGAGGGTACCCGAAATTAAATGTGAATCACACTCTGCTCTTCGTTTATGTTTCAATTGTGTTTCTTGAAGGTCAAACACTCTCATATTTTCCAATCATCGTATAGTACGTTAAAATAATGGTTAAAAGTAGCTTACAAAAATCTAGTCTTAAATTCCACATTTCATAGTTGAACAAAAAAAAAACGTATGAAGTCAGAACATTGCTAACATCTATGCATAATTTTAGGCGGGTTTGGTGCCGGCGGCAGCGGCGGTGGTGGTGGTGGCGAAATGGTTACGCAAGAAGATACAATTTTTGTCTCTGGTATGGATCCCTCAACCGATGAATTGGCCATCGAAACCCATTTCGGTGCGATCGGCATTATAAAGGTAGGTTTCCAAATTGTCTGTTTCATCATTATATAATGCTATTTATAAACAAAATCGTTTTATTTTTTAAAATTGATTTAAATTGCAGAAAGATAAGAGGACAATGAAGCCTAAAATTTGGTTGTACAAGCACAAAGACACCGGGCTCTCTAAAGGCGAAGCTACTGTAACCTATGATGATACAAATGCCGCCCAGTCGGCAATCGCTTGGTTTGATGGGCGCGATTTCAATGGCTGCTCGATTAAAGTTTCTTTGGCACAGCGCCAAAATAATTGGAAAGGAGGTCGCGGTGGTGGTAGCGGCGGCGGTGGTGGTTTTGGTGGTCGTGGTGGACCCGGTGGTGGTCGTGGTGGAGGCGGCGGCGGCCGATTTGATCGCGGTGGTGGCGGCGGCGGTGGACCGGGTGGGGATTACGATTCGGGACGAGGCGGTGGCGGCGGCGATCGTGGAGGTCGTGGCAGAATGGGTGGTGGCGGCGGTGGAGCCGGTGGCGGTGGTGGCGGTAATGTACCACAACGCGAAGGTGATTGGAAGTGCAGCAGTTGCAATAATACGAACTTTGCTTGGCGTAACGAATGCAATAGGTAGGTTTATAGCGGTGCTTGACGTCGAAATAAATCTAAAGTAATATACATTTTATTTTGTAGATGCAAGGAGCCGAAAGGCGATGCAGGAAATGAAAGCGGTGGCGGCGGGGGCGGTTACAGCAGTGGAGGTGGCGGTTATGGTGGCGGTGGTGGAGGTGGCTTCGGCAGCGATCGCGGCAGTGGTGGTGGCGGTTATGGCAGTGATCGTGGTGGTGGCGGCGGTGGCTATGGAAATAGAGACCGCGGAAGTGGTGGTGGCGCCGGTGGTGGTGGGGGCTTCAACCGTTTTGGTGGTGGTGGACGCGGTGGTGGTGGCGGCGGAGGAGGCCGTGGAATGGGCGGCGGTCGTCGCGATGGCGGTGGTGGTGGTGGCCCTGCTAGAGGAGACGGTGGCAATCGGCCTAGACCCTATTAACTGTCGTTTGGTTCGTTTACCGGTTTTACGTTATATGTGTATTTAACTTTAGAAAACATTTTTTTAAGTAAAGCGAATATGTTGTAAAATGATCATAATTACATATTACAGCTACACTCAAATATCAACAGTTTGTAAAGAAAGTATGGAACATGTATTAAAAAGTATAATGACGAATGTATATTACGATATACCAATTACTTTCCAAATAAACAATCGTCGGAATGTTTTAATTTCAATGACAAAATAATATATGTATATATATTTTTTGATTCTTAGGGTGTTGAGCATCGCTCTTTACATTGCTTTGTCGAACGGATAGTCTACGTACGGTTCAATGTCTTATTCGCGCAGGCGTCATTTCACGTGCATGCGCAACCACGGTCAAATGCCTAATTGGAACTTAGTTGCGTAAATAAGACATTTACATCAATTATAGTTAAGAAATAAGAGAGACTGATGCTTTGGCTTGATGCATTTCTGGGGGTGCTACTCTGTAATGCGATGCGAAGGGCAAATACGTCGTATGGTTTATGCTGTGGCGATTGCCTATCACATCGCATTACAGAGTGGCCCCGCCGAACGCACGCCATATTTTGCCACTGTCCGACAGATTGCCTGATAAGTTCTAAGCAGGGTCTCTGTCGGCTTCCCAGGTAATGCCGGCTAGCGACTTGAGGACTTTGTTCCTGGATCGCAGTTTGTTGCTGGTGGCTGAGGAATGCGAGGATAAGGAGAACAGGTTGTCAACCGCACACACAGGACGTGGGTTGCTTGGTTGTCGGTTTTTTACGTCTAGATCAAGCCTGAGCTCCTTGGTCTATGTGGTGGAAAGTGTGACGGCAGATTTTGCGGCGGAGATGTTGAAGAAATTTGATAGATCGGTGAGATAGTCGGTTATCGTGAACGTACTTTTTGTCCCATTCAGCTGATACTGCCTGACGTATCACGTAATTTTCTTTCGTATCGTTTTCGATCCGTGAACGGATGTTACGATTCGAGCCCAGGGTTCGTGATACCGTCAGTCGTATAAGCTGAATGGGATAAAAAGTACGTTCACGTATGTCATAATCCTAAAAATGTGTTTTTACGTGACGAGTAGTACGATATCGTATGCGACGATTCGAGCCCAGGTTTAAATCTATGCGACTTGAACTCGTGGTTACAAAATTCGACCGATGATTGGCGCCCACAAAGATAACAGGTTATCCTCCGTTTCATCCTTGGTGGAAGCGACGAGTCCGAAACGTCTGTGCTGAGGGTCACGTGGTTCACGGTGCCGAGTGCCTTCGACAGGTCAACTTGGACTAGGACCGTCCTATTCTATCAAAGGTTCGGCGTTGGTTCAAACCCTCGCTGATCTGTGTGGTGATGGCGCTCAATGCTGCGGCTAACTTGTGATGCTTCGTCAGACTGGGGGGAGTAGTGCTTCCATGGTTTTGCAAGTGAGGATGGGAGGGATATGAATCTCAGCCTCCTTGGATTAAGAATGGGAATGATCCAGCACATTTTCCACATCTCGGGGATGATCAGGGTGGACAGCGACAAGTTGAAAGCATCGGCGATGTACTCGACTCCCGCAATTCCTGCCTTTTTCCGTATGCATGGAGATTCCGTCTGGGCCTAACGCCTTAGATGCTTTGACGTTGTTGACAGTTGCCGCGTCTCTTCTGTGGTAAAGACGATGGTGTGTCTTGGGGGCGAAGTTTGTCTCTCTCTGGGTGTGCAATGAATTGTCGGCTGAAGAACGCGCGCGCGTCCGTTGATCCGATGTAGTGGTGCCAAATGTAAAGACCACATTGTCCTTACGCTTAGTCGGATGGGAGAGAGACTTGACTGGTCCGCAGTTTGTTTGCTCCGTTAGAGAGATTGCAGGTCTTAAGACGCTCATTCCACATTTTCCCGTTATATTCATTAACCAGGTTTCTAATGCCACTATTCAGATCTCTGATGATACGGAGATCCCCTGGATTAGCCCGGCGGATTCGATCACGCCCGTCCGCGAGTACCGCCGCTTCTGCGGAGACGCCTATGAGCACTTTGTTAATCCTGCCGCCTCATACGGGCGGCTGCTACGTCGATGATCCTGCGGATATATCGCTCAGCTACGCGCGCACAAGATGGTAGTGGAAGAGCATTGAATTCAGCCGATATTGAACCACGTTATGCAATATAAGGGTTACGCTGCCTCATGAGCCACGGGGACAATCTCTTCGGAGAACGTTGAACTCGTCTTGACTGTGACTGTTCGAGCCGGAGTGGAGTTTTGTCTACTGGGTCGCCGCGACTACGATTTCATCTCTTGAAACCAACTATCTCAGCGATCTTACTTTGTAGGCCGTTGTAATTAAACTGCTTTCACTTGATTCATTGCGGTCTCTGGTGATGGCTACGCGCGTGGTGAATGAGTACTGGCACGCTGCCTGTGATGCTTGTTGTGCCTATGGTGCTTGACGCGCTGGTCTCAGGCCGGATGGTCTTACTCCTGGTGTTACCATCGGTGGTTGTCGAAGATTGTTGAGCTATTGTTGGCACTGGGTGTTGCGGCTGCAGTGAATGCAGTATTCCATTCAAAATGGTATGTAAAGCCTAAGCAGCGTTTCAGGTCGCACCAATTGTTACATGCGTTGCACCTAACCGTGGAACAACCTGCCCTTTGTGGATGTCCTGGGTTGCGTACTGGGAGTTGACCCACTGGTTGATGGTTGGGCGATGGTGCTTGGTGGGAGTATGTGCTCCGCCAAGTCAATCCGGCAAACGTACAACCGACCATCTTGGAATTCGGCAGGGTAAGAGTATGATGTGTATTTTGGAACGAATTATAGTAATCTTTTGCCAAATTTGGTTTGAAGTCAAACTAGTTTTAGCGTCATGCCATCTTCGTTATAAATGTTCGTTCTTTAATGGAGATAGTTCAAAATAATTTATTTGCGTGTTCAGAAACTTAAATTTTGAGATCTCCTTGGCGTCGCCCTAGCAATGCCCTTAAACTAACCAAAAATCGATTTTTTTCATGAGATGACCTGATATCAGAGTGCGATATATGGTATATAAGTTATTTTTTTGAGTAGCCGCTTTCCATCCCCCATTTGTATGCTCGATTTAGGTCGGACCAGATGGAGAGGAGTCTTAGTTGGGTTGGGTTGAGCGGGAAAAGTGGTTGGTGTTATAGGGTAACCTTCACATGCAGAGTTTATATGCAGTGCCGGGACCACTGGTTGTCGTGAGTAGTTCTGGACTTCGTTCTACAGTTCGTAGAGATGCCTCCGGACGAGCCTACTACTTACTGAGCATGATGTTGTGTTCCCTTACGGGCAGCACCTGAGCCTCGCTGCGTAGCTGATGTTCTGACGACATTACCTGTGCGGAGTGCTTAGTTGTGACAGGTCGCCCACTGTCGCCGGCTAATTTCCTTGTTAATATGTTGCCAACAACGTTCCTTTGTCTTTGGCGCAGGTGCTGCCGGCGATCTATTTGAAGACTTTGTTTCCGTTTTGTTCTATTTTGGTAGTTGCGGTAGTGTCTTTCGTCCATGTGTTGAAAATTATTTCTGAAGGGGTAAGGCTCCTTGTTTCCATTTCCATTCGTCGTGGAAAATGTCGAATGGTCTATCTTCTGAGCCAAGTGTAGTCCCTACGATTATACGAATTGACAAAATACTTTAGCCATGCACGTACTCGACGCGGGTCCCACTGCTGGTATAAGAGTAATGCTGCGATGGAAAGACTAAGTGGAGAAGGACTAGGATTTCCAATCGACGCCAGTTGGCTGAGAAGAGAAACGATTGGGTGCTTTATTGGACTTGGCCAAACCCGCTGGGCCGTCCGATTTCAGACGACTGATATGTACGTCCAAAACGACGCGTACACTTGGCCCGGTTATTAGTCGACTGCATTTATGTATGTACATATTAGGAGCGTTCCTTATCTCCCAGAAATAGTCAGAAAAAGTCCGAAGTAGTCAGATTTAGTCCAAAAAGCGTTCCTTAACTCGGAAATGACAGCAAAAATGAGAGAGCAACAGTCAGTGAGAGCGACTCTCATCAGTCCGAAGTAGTCAGATTTAGTCAGAAGAATTTTTTCTGGCAAAATCCTGAAAAGTGTCAAACTCAACTGAATTTAAATTAACGGAAATTAAAGAATACGCTAAAAGTGAGAATAATCTAAAAAGTAAAAGAAGTGAATTGAAATTGGAAGGAGGCAAAAAATAATTGATATAGCAAGTGTTTATTGTGCTTGTGCTTGTGTGAATGTGTTTTGTACATACATTTCTGTTCTTATTTGACGTTAGTTTTGTTGTTGCCATTCTTTGGACTAAAAATTTGGTTTTTTGCGTTCCTTTATTTTTGAGGCAAACGGGAAAAGTAAACACAAATCAGATTACTTTACTTTTATGACCTCTTCCTATTGGTAAATTTAATAGACATTGCTTTTAATGTTGAAATCTGATCGAAGAAGCATTTCTAAAGAAGTTTTTTTTACAGACATTTTATTCGAGAATGGGCTGGATTACGAATTTACAACGATGGTAGAATACATTAAATAACCAAGCTCCGTTTCGCTGGAGAATGGCCAAGCTATCGAGCCCTAGACCACCCTCTTATCCCATTCATTATCTCGAAGGTGAGGCAAGAGATTTGTTTTCCAATAATTTAAGAATTTTTTACCGAGCCCAATGTTTAAATGACCTCTACCTCTTCTTTTCTGTCGTGAAAAAATTTCATAGCTGTACCGATTACCAATATCTCATTTAAACAAAATATGTATTAAATTTTACTATGGAAGTATATAAAAATTATTAACTTTAGAGCGGTTTTTCTAGAGTTTTTGCTTTTTTGAGTTATGACAGCATTGATGGAAATGAGCGTTATCTTCATTTACACGGCATTCATATTGCATATCGAAGATAATTTTCGAACATTCGCTACAATGTTTGTTGGGTAATTTTTAAAAATTGTTCAATGTAATTGAAAACAAAATTTGTATGTAGTTTTTAAAAAGTTTACTTTGCAAGTTTTTAATACGTCGATTCTTTTTGATATTTACTCAGTACTTGTCAAAAAGCATCGAGTTCTCGATACTACTCAGTACTCATGAAAAGTATCGACACTCTGTACTCGGTACTCGGTACTCGTATAGTTCTATCACTAGGTTTTCATTTAATAAATTTCGAACGCAGTGACATGTACCGCCGATACCGGTTGCAGTGTGCGCGTAGTTTCAGGCGATTGCAGCGTCAAACAGGAAGATGAATG